TCACCACGTGGTTTCTTTTATACTTTGTTCATTTTCCGGGACTGTAAGATTTGGACAATAAGACTGGATTTTGTAGACATTACTGAGTAATAATCATTATTTTTTTTGTATATGGCGACTGACCAATTCAAAGTTTTAAAGACTGAGTGTATTCCAATACAGTAAGTAGTGCATCCTATTACCCTACTTATAATGGAAAAAAATGTATATGTAGTATTTCTGTACATAAAAAGGAATGAAAAGGGGCCTCCCTGGTGGCGCAGTGGTTGAGAGTCCGCCTGCCGATGCAGGGGATACAGGTTCGTGCCCCGGTCCGGGAGGATCCCACGTGCCGCGGAGCGGCTGGGCCCGTGGGCCATGGGCGCTGAGCTTGCGCGTCCGGCAACGGGAAAGGCCACGACAGTGGGAGGCCCACATATCGCAAAAAAAAAAAAAAAAAAAAAAAAAAAGGAATGAAAGGTAATGCAGCCAATTAAGAGGGTAGTTACCCCTAAAGATATAATATGAACACACAATTCACAGAAGAAATAAAAAGCCATTAAGCATATGAAAGCGACGCTCATCTTCACTAATAAAGCAATAAGGATAGGGACTTCTATTTTAAAATTTAGATTCAAAACACAGTTATGTATTATTCAAAATTCTTTTCTGTTTAATTTCAAAAGTTTTTATCAAGTCACTTTGTAAAAGGTAAAAATTAAAAGTCAGAGTAATAAACTATCACATCTTATTAAAGACAATATCATAAATCAGTTATAAAGATAAGTTATTCCTTCCAACCTCATGTATGGATTGTTTTTTTTAACTTTTCATGTGTGTGTGTGTCCACCTGCCCCTGAGGCTGTAAATGCTTTTACTCTATCCCATGATTATGGTTCAATTTTTACACTTCCATCTTTAATCTACTTGGAATTCATTCTAGTAGAGGTCTTTCTTATTTTTCCCCAAATAATTAACCAGCTGTCCCAACACCTCATACTGAATTTACATCCAATCCCACCCATCCCCCACTTCCTTGTCTCCATCCTCACATCCTTCTTTAGGACCACAGTCACGCTGCACCCAAATTATTTCTACAGGGTCCCAGCTGGCCTTCCCACCTGGGGAACTGCTGTGCATACTACACACAGAGTGATGGCATCGCTTGCTTATTTAAACCCTACCAATGACTTTCTACTGCTCTTAGGATGGAATTCAAACTTTTTCATATGCTTGCAAGTAGAGTGGCCATATAATTTATCATCTAAATAAGGAAACCACTGAAATTAAAAGGGAGGCTATTAATATTAACCACACTGGAACTACAGGCAAACACCAGGCCGTCCTGGGTAATCAGGAGGTCAGCCCCGACTCACAGCTCTACTGTCCAGCCCCTCCCCTCCCTCTTTCACACGCTCCCGCTCAGCCACACTGAGTCTACGTTACGCCCTCAAATGTGACAAGTTATTTCCTTTGTAGGACTTCACACCGGAAACCTTCATTTCTCACCTCCCCCGCCGACTCACCCCTCACTCCTCTGCCCCTCTGGTCACCTCACACCAGCCTTCAGGCGTCACCGGGCACAGACCATCTCCTCTGCAGTCCTCTTCAACCCGCCCACACCCAGCCTTGGCGCCGGCTCCACTCCTGTGTGTTCCACACTATTTCTGGGTGTTCCCTCTCTTTATCCCCTATTTCTATCACCTTCATTCATCTTCATGTATCTTCATACACCTTCCACAAGTTCTAGCTATAGGGACTGGCAGAGTAGATGCTCAATTTATGTAGGAATGAATGAATGAAGATCCAACTCTGGTGACACTTACAAACTACCAAAGAAAGTTTTAATGCTTTTCAAAACGAGTTGTATATAGAAAGCACGTATTATCATTTCATAGTTGGCTACACACTTGGTTGTATATACCTGTGTGTGTTTTTAAAAAATCACTAGCACTTCGCAGGTACATTTCAGGTTTCCTTTCAGTATTGTGAATTAAATATTCTAAATGGAAGGGCAATCTTCAAAAAGTAAATAATTAGTTCCCTTATCCACTAAAATTTAAGGGTAATATTCAAGTTAACACCTTGGAATTACATTTTTCATATTTTAACTGTCAGTTCAACGAACAATTCATGTATACATGTTATATTCTACTGTACCTTGCTTCTGCTCTTAAGAGAAAAAGCAAATATTTTCATTTATTCTAAGACAAAAAGGAGTATTTGATCATATTCTGAAATAGCTTAAAACTTATTTGGGGACTGCACTTCTTAAAGTAATTACCTTCAAAAGTGAGATTCAAAGTGATGGTTGTTAACATAAATGATTTCAAGGAAAGCAATGTTAAATGTTAGGTCAAACTGGGAAGAAAAGTATTTTCTTCCCAAGACTGGTGAACTAGAAATTGCCATTGTCGACTGTACCATCGAGTGTCTGCAATGTCACCCACTTTCTACACGGTATTTCCTGAACATACAGCTTTCACGCTGACTTCTCACCATTCCTTAGTCACACTGCTATGTACATGTGAAAACAGACAAAATCGTTCGTCTGAGGTATTTCTGCCATTAACGAAGTTTAAGTACTCAATTAAAAGCTGCATCCTATGGTGCTGCAATGATGCCATTGTAAAGGGAAGAAAACCCACATTTCTCTTCCTTCTGGAGGAGTTTCTCCTTCCTTGCTGTGTTTCTCTCCTGTGTGCTTCCTTTACTGCTCACACAAAACAAAATTCTGATCACCAAACGCGTGACGGGTTTTCTCAACACCAAGCAATTCTCTGTGACACACCACCTGGGCGTCCTACAGTTCAACGCAATTCTGAGGTCATCTTCCCAGAGAGAGCATCAGCTCCCACAGGTTGAGGGCTCAATCCTTTAAGACTGCCCCGCCCCCCGCCCCCCGACACACTTCAGACACCAGTCACCACTCCAGGCTGCCACCTGTGCTTCTGACCAACCAGCTGCAGACATGAGGTTCCAACAACCCCCTGCTTGGGTTCAATTAATTTGCTAGAGTAGGTCACAGGATTCAGGGAAACACTTACAGGTACCAGTTTATTAAAGGATATGATAAAGGACTCAGATGGAGAGATACACACAGGGTAAGGTCTGGAGGGTAGGAGTGTCTGTCCCTGTGGAGGTGGGTGCATCACCCTCCTGGTACACGGATGTGTCCCCGAGCCTAGAAGCTCTCCGAACACCACGCTTTGGGGATTTTAGGGAGGCTTCCTCAAGTGGGCATAATCAATTCTTAACTCCATTTCCAGCCCCTCTCCCCTCTCTGGAGGATGGTGGCAGGGGTGGGGTGAGGCTGAAACTTCCAAGCTTCTAATCGTGGCGTGGTCTTGCTGGTGACCAGCGCCCAGCCAGGGGCACACCCAGAGTCACCTCATTAGGACAAAACTCCGGGTGCTCTAACCACTTAAACATTTACAAGGGCTGGAGGGGAGCTGTGTCAGGGACAGGGTCAAAGACAAAGAAATACAAGTGCAATAGATGTTCCCAGTGTTCTTATCACTTAGGAAATTAACTAGGGTTTTATAAGCTTTGGGCCAGGAACCTGGGGCAGACACCAAAATGTACATATCTTCTCTTACCTCATAACCACCTAAGATCACAACCCCCTCTCCCGCCAAATACCAGTTTCCATCCAGTATAACCTCTTTATTATTAGCTATTCCATTTCAAACACTCTTGAACGGAATAGCAAAATCAGATTTTTTGTTTCTGGGGGGTCAGAAACATTCCTCTTTAATTTGTAAAATTCAAACCAAGATAACGCCCTCAAAAACGAGCTTACCAAGCGCCTCGTGGGTACCCTTGCCATGCTCTGATTAACATCAACTTCCCAAGTGCAGTATAAGGAAAGTGACGAAATTTTCAGAGCATTCACGAATCTCCTCTAAGCTGCTCACTTTCTGTGCGCTCCGTCTTCAGCAGCAAGCTGCACTAACCAGATCCTTTCTGCACTAACCAGATCCTTATTCTTCTAGAACTAAAGTATAGCCAATTTCCTCTGCACCAGTCAATTCCTCTCATGTTATTAATCATAGTTCATTTATCCTTTACAGAAATACATTCATGTACTTTATATTTACTTACATGGTTTAGAAATCATGGTCCATACATGTTCTCTCTTTATCTTTCATTTAATACTCTTTTGAGTATCAGTTTAAGACCATATATAGGACAGTTCCAAAGGAGATTTTTCAAAGAAGGTAGAAATAAATCATCAGTTTTTGCATCTAGATGGACATTTTCATTCAACAGTAATCATGACATAACTGATCATTTTGATTACATAATTACTGATCTATAGGTAATTCTGACTCCTGGACAATATTTCACATACAAGTGTGGTAGTATCAAGTACAAAATGTATGGGTTATAGAATTTAATACATTAATGACCTTAGAATTAACAGGAAAATTTCTAAATCACATCGTTGACTAATCACACCTGGAGGAAAAATAAGTGATAAACTTGTGAGAAAAAGAGAGACTCGAGATGGATCTGCCAATATTTTACTGGTCTTTACACTGGAAAAATGCTTTGCTCTGTAAAAATGGCACGATGCATTAAAACACCAATTGGCAGAGGAGGGGGCAGGGAATGGGGAGAGGAAGAGGAATGCTAAGACAGTCCCACAGAAAAAGAGACACTGTTGTCAAATGCACTGGCACACCGTTAACTAGCCAAGCAAAGTGAACCCAAACAAAATCGCTAACAGGTTCTGTATCCTGTACTCTTAACTTCATTTAAAAGGAAAACAACCTTGACGCTCCATTATATTTGCCAACTTAAATCCTGAGCTTCCCAATTTAAGTGTTTTACATACTGTCACAACATTCTCACGAAAAGCTCAACTCTTTTTCCTCAACGGGATTTAGGCGATTAAAATACTGTGCACTATTTGAAAATAATTTACTTGAAAATTGATGCTCGAAACAAAATTCATCTGAAGTCCCAGAAAGTGGCCCTTTTCGGATATATTTATTACAGGTGTCACACGTCCTCACCTTCACGTTGGGTTTTGACAGCAGCTTCAACAGCTCTCTGATCTCGCCGTTCAATGGCTTGTTCTGAAGCTCCTCCGCCAGCTGCACGGGAGATCACATTGACACGAAGAACAGTTAGTAAAGAGCAGGGGGAGCTCCACGTGCGGCAGCTGAGAATCTCTCTTG